GGTAGTGAGTGTAACATTATAAGCGCGTAAAAGCATAATCGATTCCAAACCTAAGCAAACGACAAAATGGAGCAAGAAAAAAGCTATTATTAGCAGCAGTAATATTTACAGTGCGAGAATAGGTTCTTCATCGTCTGAAAGCGATGATGAAGAATTAGAAATAGAAAGAAATAGAAAGAAATCCAACAAAACATATACCGAGAATCGAAAATTATGCAAAAAACAAAATTAAAAAAAATTTTAATCATAAAATAAAAAAAATAAATTAAATTAATTAAATTAAATCTCAATCTTTTAATTTTAAATTTTTTATCGAAATTTAGTAAAAATTTCAAAATCTTCGGATTAACAGACAATTCGAGATAACAGACAATTCTGAACGCACCCTGTATGTAATCTAACCTAAACTAACTTAACCTAATCTAAGCTGATTTAACCTAAAAGTTAAACTGAAGATTTTTACTACCAACCGGTGAGAAAAATCTTTGAAGAGAAAAAAATAATCTAATAGATAAATTGCTTGATCTAATTTAATCGGCTTAAATTTTGATAAAAACTCAATCGATGTATTTTTCTGTAAAAACAAAAGTTTGAAAAGAAAAAAGTATTGTTCGAGTTTTGTTTTGAAGTAAAAATTTTCTATGATAAAAAGTAAGCTTATGATAAAAAATTGCTACTTAATACTTGAAAAATCCACATAGCAAATATGGCTGTGGTAGTGGAAACCACTATAGGAGATTTTACAGTGGACCTGTACATTGAAGAGCGTCCTCAGAGTAAGTACGGGTTACAAGTATTTCCACACCTAATTATTTTGAATCTCCATTTTATCTTTATATCATCTTTTACACATCTGTATTGTACATTATTTTTATCCTTGCAGCCACGCGGAATTTCCTGAAGTTATGTAAGCTCAAGTACTATAATTGGAATCTTTTCCACTCGGTGCAGACCAACTTTATTGCGCAAACTGGCGATCCCACTGGTACTGGAAAAGGTGGAGAGAGCGTGTATGGAATCGTGCTCGGTGAAAAGGCCCGTTATTACGAGGCCGAACAGATGCCAAAGATCAAGCACAGTCGGATAGGTCTGCTGTCCATGGTGAATTGTGGGAACAACATGCTGGGCTCTCAGTTCTTCATCACGCTGGGATCAGAGCTGCAATCTTTAGACAATGAACACTGTGTGTTCGGAGAGATCACAGAGGGACTGGAGGTGATCCTCAAGTTTAACGAGACCATCTGTGATGGGGATCAAAGACCATATCAGGATATAAGAATATCCCACACTGTTATTTTGGAGGATCCATTTGATGATCCTGTAGGATTTGTAATTCCCGATAGAAGCCCAGAACCTACAAAGGAAGCTCTGATGGTACGCTTGGAAGATGATAAATTTATAATCTCATCATCATTTGTCTTATGTTACCTATTAATTAAGTTCACAAACATATTTCCTTTTTTTCTGTTTTGAGTTTTCACATATTTAAAATATATTCATTTTTTCCATTGTCTTTTCCATATGTTTAGCTTTGTATTTGTATTTATTTATTTAGAGCGATAGGATTGGAGCGGACGAAGCGATCGATGATACCGGTGGCATGACCGCGGAGGAGATTGCGGAAATGCAAAAGGATAAAGAAGCGAAAGCGAGAGCCACGATATTAGAGATTGTAGGTGACATACCGGACGCGGACATCGCCCCACCCGAAAATGTCTTGTTCGTCTGCAAATTAAATCCGGTCACAAACGATGATGACCTCGAAATTATCTTCAGTCGCTTCGGAAAAATTATTGGGTATGTGAACATTTATTTTTACAGTATTTGTTATTGTTGATTATATCCATTTTTACCATTATTTAATTTTTTCATTTATTATATCTTTTATATATTCGTTTATATTATGATATACATTATATATTTATTAATTTTCATAATTTACTGATTCTTGCAGCTGCGAAGTTATAAGAGACCATCAAACGGGCGACTCCTTGCAATATGCATTTATCGAATTCGCCGATCGCAAGAGCTGCGAGGACGCGTACTTTAAGATGGACAACGTTTTGATCGATGATAGAAGAATACACGTAGACTTTTCGCAGTCGGTCGCTAAGATGCGTTGGCGTGGTAAGGGAAAAGGTATTAAGTATCTCGACGAGGATGATAAGAAGAAACGCGAAGAGAATTACCCTTCTTCGAAAAAATCAGAAGCATCGCGCGGCAGAGATTACGACAATGGTAAAAATAGGGAGGAAGGAAGGAAACGGGAGAACGATAAAGATCACACATCCGAACACAGAAAGCACGATCGCCGAAGAGAAGACAAAGATAACAGAGACAGAAGAAAGGAAGATAGATCGTACGACGATCACTACGAGAAAAGCAAGTATGATAGCGAGCGAAAAGACAGAAGACGAAGAGAGGAACGACGTGATAGGGATAGGAACAGCGAGAGAAGGGGTCACAGCGAGGATAGATCGGAAAGAAGAAGGAGGGGCCAGAGTGAAGAGAGATTGGAAAGAAGAGGCAGAAAAGACGAGCATGGCGATAGGGAACGTCGACATCGCGATAACGAAAAGAAGAGATCCGTGGATGACGAAGATGATATGAGATACCGGGATAGATCACATAAGCATAAAAGAAAACGATAAAAAAAAAGGAATGAAAGAGCTAAAAAGAATTTCGAACATGAGATATATTTAAATAAAAGTAAAGTTTCCTATTTGCTACGAATATCTTTGCAATTGTGATATCAAAATGAATAAATGCATAATTTATAAGAGGGACTGTAATTCAAACTTTTTTTCTTACATCAAGTAAAACTGCCAGTAGCCTTTCAAGTACAAAACATGAGAAAAAGATATTCGTTATCGACGATCGACCAATTCGGACCTGATGGAGTGTCAATCAACGCATGCATTTTCCTTCACGGGATGCCGAGCGATGAAGCCGATTCTCGTCATGAAAAGCTAGCTCTATAGTAGGAGCGCATACGGTAAAGCTATCGAAACCATAGATTTCATTCAACAAATGTAGAATTTCAACGGAGAGTGATATCGATGATCGTCATAACGTAGTATGATGATGAATGATTAAGACTTTTGATTGTCGCGGTACCATATCAAAAATAGAGAGCGAAAACAATCTGGCGGCATACGTTCGAACACTGCCGCTCGAGTTTAAGAGAATAAATCTCTTACGAAAATATCTTATGCACTTTCGAGACCAAGTCTCGCGCTTTGGTTCGTACACGCACGAAAGAACATTTTATAAGAATGATAAAATAAATTTTATAGGAACGATAAAATAAAATAAATTTAACGTGGACACGCAGGTAATAAGCTACGTAGCCCGCAGGCTCTCGCTAGTTTTTTTTTTTTTTTTTTGTTCTTTGGTGACATCGCAATTTTGGTATTCTTGCATGTATCAGGAAGGTACACTGCACATCCTCGCTTCGTCCTCCAGCTCGGAAACGAAGCCGATTAGTTGCGATTCGCAATTATTTGCCTAGCTGGATCACCCAGAAAGAATCAAAGTACGATGGAAGTAGGCCAAAATTCCGCGTCGTTGAATTTGCAAGATTATCTATCATCCTCACAACATTGTGTAGCGTATATATATATATATGTGCGATCCTGTCTTACGATTCATTCGTCGGGTTTATTTCGCGCGTTTTATATATCACTCTCGAAATGAAAGACGCGTTTTTTTACTCGAAGGCTTTCTTCGGCGATTCCGCTTTCCTTTGCGCTACTTTAGAATACACTGTCTGTTACTTTACAATACTTTTTTTTTTAACAGAGAGCTCTAGTCTATTCTCAATTCGCGCGTATCGTAGCTTTGTTACATCACAATCGATCTGTATGTTACAAATTGAAAGAATATTTAAGCTTAATTGGGTCATATTATATAAAACGCTGTATATAAGTAACGGGGAGAAAAAAAACAGAACTATACATTAAGCGCGTATGCGTGCATATATTAGATAACTAAACTCCAATATGTAACACAAATAAATATGGTGAATTATATTAGGAGACATTTACGATATACAGAGTGATTCTGAATTAAATAACTATCTGGGGAAGATGAAGTCTAGTGGCTAAATGAAGAAAATGCATACATTTAATGAGTAAATTCAAATCTTCTCGTCTAAGTGTTTCCTTTATTTTCTTTGTTACTTTTTTATTATCTCGGAAATCAAAATTTCTACTTATACTTTTGCATTATAGTTATTTTATTTTGAATGATATTTTAAAATATCATCATCTCACTTTCTAGGAAAATTAAATAAGAAATTAAACAAAAATATACTTTTCAATGTACTTTTCAATGTAAATTAGAAAAATTTTTAAGAGAATATACATGATAAGAGATCACTCTTAAATTTTATTAACAATTAAACTTAAAACGGAGCTTAATGGATGTGTTTACATTTCATATTCATCCTCTAAGATAGTAGCATCTAATTAAAAACCACCTTGTATAATATACACATATGCAAATTATATATATAAATAATATCTGTTGCGATATATATATATATATTTTTAATTTACTCACTTTCTGTTTCGTGTCAAATGGACACAACAACGTATTACATACAAATTTTGCAGCGGGACAATATATAAGGATGTAAGGATATATATCGCAAGAGATAACATATCTAATAAAGTTTTACACTTTGGCGTTCGTTGTTTCGCTTTCTCTTCTAAGCGCGAGAAGACTTAATCATCATTACGCCCTGAAAAAAAGTAACATTAAGATAACAGAGCTAAAGTAAATGAGATAATCCTTCTTCTACACCTACGTGATCTCTAGGAAAAATTATTACATTACGATAAAGCTATAAGAAAAGAAGCATCGTCTCTATCGGGCAACACGTTGTGCGCGTCGTGCATTCCCAAGGAAGGAAAGAAGAGACGCGCGGGTATGGGAACGAGTTGCGTAGGATAGAAGGAAGTTCATTTGTCACGGTATCATTCTATTGGGGGGTCTCTTCGAAATCTAATCATCGAGACCCAAGATTGAGCTTTGCTCAAAGGGATTTTCGTGTGCAATCGAAATAGAAAACTTCTCCGTAAAAACGAAAAGGAGAACTGGGATGCGCTGGGATACACGAACGGGAGTTATCTTATGGATCGCGCGCGAGGCGACCCGCGAGAAAAAAGGCACTTTTCAAAAGGCCACCGTTACGTGTAAGATAAAAATGCGATTAGGGAAGACAATTCTTCTTTCCTATTCCTATATCGAGAGAGTTACTTTGGTAATGACTAGGTCATATGCTACGTCGCTACGTTAGTTATGGATTGTGGTGTTCCTGTTCGTTATGGCCTGGCGATTGGTTTATTAAATAATGAATAGTAATCGTAATGGCGCGGCGCGCCGGCTTTAGGCGCTTCCTCGTTATGGCCATCCTTCGTCCGTCGCGTTGCTTACTTGTTGCTTACTAGCGTAAATTGGTGGTTACACAATGAGACTCAACAAAAATTATATCGTGCTTGCTCGAAAGCTTGTACTTTTTGTATCGGCGTCAAACTTGTACTCGTGATTTCCCCTCGCGTCTCGTCTCAGAAAATGCGTATCAAATATACGCTCAGATTGAAAAGGCCTAATCGTCAGAACGCGATTATCGAAAACGCAAATACGATTCGATGCTTTTAACGATCGAATATTCTGTTCAGATTCATATTAGCAAGATTCCCTTTCTCTCGAGATTCGCAATTCAAATCGAGATAAAGAAAAAGAATTCAGGACTGCGTAGCAAAGTGATGACAAAAATTTCAGAAATTTAAATGTAATATCGATGAGCTGTTGGACTCCACTGCATGTACCTTTTCCAAAATCATTGATACGAATACAATATGTATTCGTACAAGATGCAAGCAAGATCCAATCTATCGTTAAGTCCAAATTCATCGAATCGTATTAGGCATTTCGAAATTAATTCGAGGTCCCTTGAAGTGAAACTGAACTTTTGGCCAGGGTGTGGTACACTGGACGCGCGTCCAGAAAGAGGTCCCTACTCAAAATTGGATGCGGTAGTTGCTGGGACGCGGTATCGATCTCGCCTTAGTGGGTGGCAGGGAGGCCGTCGATGCCTCGCTGCTGGCGGTTCCGCCGGAGTCGCGGCCGCTTTTGCTGCTCACGGTGCTGCCGGTGCTCTGCCCGCGAGAAGAACCGCCCGTTCCCGTTTGCTTCCTCAAGGTATTACCACCCCCTTTGAGAACGGCCGCCGCCGCTGCTGCTACCGCTGCTACCGAGGATTCCCCGTCGCTCAGACGGCCGTACTCGCCGATACGAGTGCGGGTGGTGGACGAAGACGGCGGTGGCGGGATGAATGAGCGATTCTGCATCTCCCGATGCCTCATTGCTGACTCCAACATGCAACCGGTCGATGATTTTTTGCGATTGCTGACCGCGATTGTGTCGGACTGAAGCCTCTCGTAATCATGACCATTACCACTGCCGCTTCCTCCGCCTCCGCCTCCGCCTCCTCCTCCTCCTCCGCCGCCGCCGCCGCCGCCGCCGCCGCTGCCGCCACCCGAACCGATCGATGACTTTTTCAGCGAGCTATTCATGAAACTTTCCACGGAAGTCTTCTTCTTAGTACGCGATGCCTTCGCGGCAGCGGCGGTGGCGGTGGCGGTGGCGGTGGCGGTGTCAAATCTACCATATTCGATGTTGCTGGAGGAATCGCGCGTCGTTTTCACGCCGCCGCTACTAACGCTATTACCACCGCCATTACCGCCGCCACCACCGCCGCTGCCGCCGTCGCTCGTCGCGGATGACGTGTCTAGCATCCCCGGTCCGGGGTCCGACTTCTTGCGCGTCTCCGTGTCACTTAGACGGCAGTAACGGGAATTCGCGCTAGTCGCCTTGAGTGCCCTCGGCGGTCGCGGTAACGAGCTGGGCGGTAGACTGCCGGCGCGACGTGGCTCGCCGCCCACCTCCGCTGCCATTCGCTGCCGTTGCGAGCTTCGCCTTGCTTCTCGAGCAGCATCATA